TGTTTGTTTTGTTGTGTTGGGGGGTTTTTTTGGGGGGGGGTTATTGATTTGTTGTTGTTTTTGTTTGTTTGTTTGTTTGTTGTTGGGGTTTGTTGTTGGTTTTTTGGGGGGGCTAGTGTTTTACGGGGCTTGTAACTGAATAAGGTTATATGAGCGCGCGGGATACACCAAACATTTTCAGTTGGTAGGAAATTGTTTATTTCGCCCGGATGGCGGCGAAGCCTACTCTAATCGATTTTGGTCTACCAAGGGATCTTAAACGTTGGCAACTTGCACACGGGACCTTCGAGATTTTTTGCCTTTGTCCAAGAAGACAAGGTATAGATCTTACCCACCATAAGACCAGGGGTATGGCTGAAAGACAGCAGTAAGAAGGAGCCAAGGAGAAGCAGTAGAAAGGCTGCAGCAGAAAGAGTCAGGAGACTAGAGGAGGGGGCAAAGGAGGTGAGGGGTGGGGGCAGAAGGTGGAGACGAAAGCAGACGACAGAGCATTGTTAGAGAACAAATATTTTAGCAAGGTCTTACGGCGCTCGCAACTGCATAAGGTCATATGAGCGGCCTGGGGTGGATGTCAACAGAGAAGTCCAAACGGGGAATCAGGCTTACTCTGCTCACCTCTCAGGCCTCAACAGCACAAAGTCTGCTTCGGTTATCAAGTCACCCTAGAAACAGCAGTTCACAAGAGAGTGACAAACATACAAAAGAAGTAGAGAAAAAATGACGATAGTAAGGATGAGGAAAGAAAAAGAGCAGTTCCCCCTATGTTGTTCCGGCACAGTATGAGAATGACATTGATCAATCAGCCAATTTACAATTCTACTGTGCATAGGAGCATGTTAACACATGTATCCCCCCTTTGGGAATGGCCTTAAGACACTTCAGTCAGTAGCACTGCCCTGGGGGGAGGGGGGGTGTTAGAGAACAGGAAGGGACGCGAACGGAGAATTTTTTTTAGAAGAAAATATTCCGTCGCTATCCGGATTCGAACCCGGGATTATCGAATGAAAGGCGAACACCTTAACCTCTAGGCCACGAGAGCCCCCTCCTGGGAGTTCATGGTGCTGCTGCTGGAGCAGGGTCTTTGAGGCCTGATTGGGCCGATGTTGGAGTGGAGATTCCTGCCGCACACG